ATATATATATATATATATATATATATATATATATATATATATATACATACATACATATATACATATATATATATATACATACATATATATATACAAACGCACCTGTTCTGTGAAGCCCAAGAGCCGCTTCCAGTTCTCAGCCATTTGGGTCTGGTTGTTGTTGAGGCGTGTGGGGTCGACCTCACACGACTCTGTGCAGTTGTAGATCTGTGTGATGATAGGTGTCAACACCTGATGTAGGTATGCCATGGCCACCAGCTTGGTGTACTGATCCACGGCCTGTTAAACCGAACCAATGAGAGACGAGCGGTTAGGATAAAGCAATGCGATATGATGGGTGTGACTAGTGAGGGGGTGTGGGAGCAATCAATGGGACAATAAGGCCCGATGCGGTCCAATAATATTAATAGGTGCCGATGGCCCCTATAGACATTAAGAATGGATGGTATAATACCCACGAATAGTACCGTGTTAACTATACCGTAGTCCCAGGTGATGTAGTGGGCACTCGTATGTATCACACGCATCTGCGGCCACCTGACCACCCCACAGTTACGCGTCTAAGGGCTGTCTGGGCCTACTGTACACCAGCAAGACCTTTTATCACAGCCGCTACTTGTACTGCACCCCTTTCTTTTTGCACCTGACAGACCGAAGCCTATAGCACTCAAATTGCACCATATTTTTTGCACCTGGACAGACCAAAGCCTATAGTACTCAGATTGCAGCCATATTTATGCACCTGGACAGCCCAAAGCCTATAGTACTCAGATTGCAGCCATATTTTTGCACCTGGAAAGACAAAAGCCTATAGTACTCAGATTGCAGTCATATTTTTGCACCTGGAAAGACAAAAGCCTATAGTACTCAGATTGCAGCCATATTTTTGCACCTGGACAGACCAAAGCCTATAGTACTCAGATTGCACCCATATTTATGCACCTGGACAGCCCAAAGCCACTCAGATTGCAGCCATATTTATGCACCTGGACAGCCCAAAGCCTATAGTACTCAGATTGCACCCATATTTTTGCACCTGGACAGACCGAAGCCTATAGCACTCAGATTGCACCCATATTTTTTGCACCTGGACCGCCTGAGTGCAGTAGTGCGCTGGGGTAGGACTTTCAATTACGGGTGCATGTGTGGGGCGCGCCCCTGTGGTTGACCTGTGATGGCAAGTTCATGTCTGATCCAAGCAATGGGGATCGACACTGTTGCTAGGATACCGCTCAGATACTGGACATACCCAGTGAAGGTAGTTTACAGACACGAATGCACTACATAACGTATGGATCTATCTGGAACAGCTGTATAACACGCCGTCTATACACGTAGATGCACATATAACAGAGACATGGGACTACTACCTCAGTCACTTACATATGTACACCCGCACACCCACACAAAGCACACACAACACATACAACCAACAACACACACAACACACACCTTGGTGGCCAAGGAGTTTCCTCGGAAGAGTATATTCGGGTTGTCCGTCGACGCTATCTCTATCTGGCAGAGGGACGAGACTAGCCTGTCAGCCTCTCCGCGTGCACGATATATCTTGAGCATGTGCTTAGCCGTACGCTCACGTTGCTTGGGAGGGATCATGACGTTAAGACACCGCAGCACATCCGGATACGAAAGGCAGTTCACCAGTTCAGTGTAATCTTCGGTGGGTCGGACCACCTCGTGCTGCGCAGTGGACAATTAAAGAGTGGAGTGGAGGGGCGGTCGGTGAGGGAGAGGTACGGAGGTATAAGCATGTGCAAGTATCGAGCCACACACGCGAACAGGCGTAGACTACGTCACACATATGCGTAGATCACAACACACACATGCGTAGATCACAACACATGCGTTAATCACACACATGCATTATTCACACACATGTGTTAATCACACACATGCGTATATCACAACACACAAATGCGTAGATCACAACACGTGCGTTAATCACACACATGTGTTAGTCACACACATGCGTAGACTACAACACATCCATGTGCGTGCATACACCCACTGCCTACCGAGTACTGCAGCTCCAAGCGCAGCGACCCGTTGATGAAGTTGTTGGACTTCATGTCCTCGATGCTGCACCACTGCGTGAAGCTTTCGGTCTTGGCCAGCGTGTCCACAGAAATAGACACCTTGCCCACGGGCACCTCCTTGCTGCCGCCCGTGAAGGTGCGCTCGTTCTGGTAGATGACCACCATTAGCGTCTTAAGACTCGACGGGAAGTTGCTGGAGAGGGTGTGGGGTGTAGAGGGTAGGGGGTGTAAGCAACAGCTGTGCGTGTGTGGGTGGCTGAAGTGTTATTGTGGACTGACTGACTGACAAGTAGGACAATTGCGCACCATTGCCATCGCGAGGAGTTTTCGACCATTTCCTGGCACTACGCA